AAAAACTTACCAACATAACCGGAGCGAACGATAAGCCTAAGCACGGGTCCATTCGAAATGCTCGTTCTCTTCACTATGCTTCTCTCAAGTATGTCAAATACCGGCATTGCATAAACCTGCAATACAACTCCTTTAATTTATCAAATACTATGTATAAATCGAAAAATCAAATTTGATGATCTAAATCCATAGCTCCTTTAATTTATCCCAAAAAAAAAAAANTCTCAATTTCACTAAAATTCGGTTAATAAAAGTTACCTGATAGCTCCCGATCACGTGCACAACCACCATCAAATTGGCGGTGGCAATTAGCCAAGCGGGCCTCTCGAGCGCGACAAGCACATTATCGGCCACATCTCGCCCGAAAGCCCAATATCCAATAATGGCCACCGGAAAATAGCAAATGGCGTTTATAATATAGGCTAAGACGGCCCCTTTCCACATGGGCACTTTAGAGGGCTTCTCGGGAGTTGAAGGTATGGTTGCTTGGATCTCGAGGGCAACCGCGTGGCCCGCGTACGCAAAAGTGATTTCGCCCAATGCATTGAAAATTCGGAACATGGAATCGACACCACTGGTTTTCTTGTACGCGTAGCTCACGTTTGGGGACCGGCCTTTACTTAGGCTTCCCACCCAAGCTATGGTTGAGTAGCTACAATATTTTATTTTTTTTAAAAAAAAAAAAATGATTATCAACTTCTAATTAATGTAATGGTTGAACTTCTGCTAGTCTATCTAATGGTTAGACAATCATACTTTTTCAACACAACGTACATATTTTCCTACTCAAATGTCGTAATTTAAAATACAATATAAACAAAATTATGACACTTTACAGAAAAAAATTGCAACATCCCCCCAACATTTAGTAACCATCTTAGTACAAAGAACTGAGCACCAAGCATAGTGTACAAATTGATCCTCTAACTAAGTGTTTGCATGTAAAAAGGAAAAAAGAAACAAAAAGTCAATTATGAACTTTTGACATAAAACAATATTGCTTTTCCTTACCATCAAATGCCAACATAAGATTCTACAAAATTTTAATTCAAACTTGAAAAAGGGAGAATTCTGCTTTTAGGTATCTGATTCTGTTTCTTTCTTTCTCTCTCTCTCTTTTTTTTTTTTTTTCCTCCTCCATCACAATTCACAACAAAAAAACACTAACTAAACACGCGTAATTTTTTTTTTTACTAAAAATTCAAGCGCCAAAACCCAAAATTCAAAGAAAAAACGACCACATTACCATAGCGACATAACCGCAGCCGCCAACGAGACAGCGGACACGGAATTGAAATCCGGCAGCTGAGACAGGAAAAGATGAAGCCCACCAAAGACGCAAATCCAATAAGACTGCCTAATGGGCTTGCAATTGGCGCACGCAATCTCCATGAACTTCATGAGACACTTACCTCCGGTCACCATGTACACGATATCACAGCCCACTTGCACAATGAGCTGCTGGGGGAGCACGATCCATGCCCCTAGGCCCGGCCCAAATGCGTGCCGGCCCAAATCGATGTACCTATCAAACCGGACACCTGGCACACACTCGTGCAATTGGGTCATTTGCCACATGGTATTCAACGTGATGCACCATGACAGTACCATCACGACCGTTCCTGGTCCCCTGAATTGATTTTAATATTTTGTTTTGATAACAATTTCCAAATCGATTTCAAAAAATAAAATATAAATTCATATTGATCTCGGAAAAATTGAAGATTAGTTATTTAACTGACATCTAATTGAAAAATAGTCTGGTGATCGCGTTGAATTTAAAAAAATCCTGCAAAAAAAAAAACTTGACTTTTGGTCCATCCACATGCAAAAAAACAAAACTGACTTTTGCTGACGTGGATATTTTTTTTTATTTTTTTTCTATACACGTGGAAACCGACTAACATACCCAACTCAGCAGGTGGAAGGACTAAAAGTCATGTTTTTTTGCAGTTACAAGGTGTTTTTTTTATAAAGACAACGCAACTACCAGACTATATCTACTAAATCTCCAATTATTCCTATCTACTCACACATGATCATTATATTGTCTGTAAATTTTTAACCTTTTTTTTTCTATCTTAAAAAGGACAAAAAACTAGGTAGAGAAGGTATTGCAATATAGTACCATCCTAAGTAAGCCATGGCATAAGGCAAGCTGAGTACACCGGCTCCAACCATGGCCGTGACCGTGTGAAAAGTCGAGTACCACCATTTGGCCTTGCGGCGAGGACCGTTCTCACATTTTTCGTTTGATGGAATTTCCTATAGAAACATACATTAAAAAAAAATAAAATATATAGCAATTACTCAACAAGATTATGAAAATGGAAAAGGAAAATGAAAGAAAAATATGGTACTCTGCATTAGAGAATGATTTCATATAATAGCTTTAACTTACTTTTGGTTGTGGAGGAGAATTTGAAACCATCTTTTATTTGTCCTTCTTCTTCTTCTTTTTTTTTTCTGCAAACCAAAGCAAATTTGCACACCAAGAATGCAGGAGTTCAGTTCCTATCATAAGGTATTTGTAGTGGTTAAACACTTGATTTTGTAATTTATTTTTCCTTTTTTTAATTTAATGAAAGGAAATAAAGGTGACAGATGACCCTTTAATTGGTAACCTTTATTTTTACTAGTAAAATTGTCATTTATGTTGTATATATCAAATCAAAAGCTAAAATTCTATCAAGAAAGGAAAATAAAAGATAAAGTTTCTTTGGACATAATGGTAAAAAAATGAAATTAAGTAAAGAAAAGAAAAAAAATAAAAAATAAAAGAATAGGTTCTTGCCACCAACCAAGAACTAGAGCTCACTAAAGGCCTTTCTTAGCTTCATCTGCCCCATAAAACGATATAAATTCATCAACTTGAAAATAGCACCAAGATATTGGGACATTGTAATAATTGGAACATGACTTAGAATATGCTAATCTTAAATGAAATGTAATGATTGTATTCGACTCCAATAGAGCTCAAAATTGACTAAGAATACGAGGGTTGTTATTGTCATTCTACAATATTATTCCTGGTACATCAAAATTTGTTCTCGCAAATTGGTCATTCATCACAAACATGGCCACTACACAACAAATGTACATGATTATTTACTATTTAGCTTCTCTTTTAACTTGTTTCTGATAATTGTATTGCATTTATTTATGCTAGTTACTTTCATATATATAAATAACATACTTTTAAAAAAAACAATGAATACCAGAAAATTCCAATAAACTTCCAACATAAATATATTCTAATAGAATTCTAACGGAAATTTCAATACATATTTTAATGTTATTCTTTCCGTTGGAATTCTAACGAAATTTTCCAATGAAAATTTCAACAAAAATATTCCGTTGGAATAAATTTTCTGTTATAAATTTTCGTTGAATTTTTTTAGAATTCCGACAGTAAATTTTCCAACGACTATTAGATGGGTAGAAATAAAAATTGCAACAAAAATTTTGTAGTTCAGTAATTAACCTAACCGTGTAAAAGTGGTCGTTGAAATTTCAAATTCCAACTAAATTTTCAATGAAAAACTTATTCCAATGGAATATTTTCGTTGGAATTTACAATAGAATCATTTCAACTGAAGCTATACTATTGAAATATCCGTTAAAATTCTTATGGAATAAATCACCGTTGAATTTTTCGTTGGAATATAATAAAAAACATTATATTTTTTTTGTAGTGAACGTAACTAAATATAAGTCTACATTTTAATTCAAAAATTATGACCGGTTGATCCACATAACGATTAGGTGCCTCCTCACACAAGAATTTGTAGTAATTAAATGAACTTTCCTATAATATCATTAGACTAACAGAGTTTAATTAATTGGGGCATGATAAACTAAAATAATCTGAATGATAAATCAACATAACCAAATCCAAATGCATGTCTAAGAAAATTAAAAGAAAACCCGAGATTCACAACTAGCTCATCTTTTTCCATGCCAAACTTACATTTAACATGCAAAAGAAGAAAACAAATTAACTATGGAAAGGAAAAATTAATGGGTCTTTCACATCTCTATTATTTTGTTAACATTTAGTTTTACATTTGAATTTGAGTTACCTTTGAGCAGATGAAGTGGGCGCTTGTTAACGTTTGAGGCTGAAAATGAGAAAAAATATCATTTGATATCTCCAAGTGGAGTACAATAAAAGAGAAGATGATGAAGAAGATAAATGGTGATTTCTGGCTTTTTGTCCAGCACTTATTAATGACTCTGCTCAACCGTTCCACATTCTCATTCATAATTAATTAACCCACAAACACTGTCTTTTCTTAGCAAATTCAATTTATGGTGGATTTCCCCATTTCCAATCAGAAAATTAAAGGCAAAATTGTATACTTAATATCACTACTTTTTTTCGAAATTATAATTTATTCACGATTTTTTTACTTTTACAAACTATATCACAATTTTTAGTATTGTTCTTCGGTCATATCACCTTTTCAAGGCTGACTTTCAGAACTCATGCACCAATTTACAACAAACTGAAGATTGTGATATAATTTGTAAAAGTGAAAATGTCGTGATTGAATTGCAATTTAAAAAAATGTCGTGATATTAAGAACAATTTTGCCTAAATTACATGTGTGACCTTGAAATTGACCATGTCGTCGTTGTCGTCATCGGCTGACGATCAGCGCCAGTCTATTGATTTTTCATTGTATAATTAACTTTAATATGATAATTATTATTTTTTATTATATAAAAATTTCAATTAATTAAATGGAGAATCCACAAGAATTGCTTATGTGAATTGGGTGCCCAAACTGCCCAAACCCAAACCAGACATGATGGAGCTGGTTAGAGATCATTTGATTTGGGTCAATGACCTTTTTGATGATGGTGGCACAGAATGGAATTCATGGCTAGTCAACCAAGTCTTTGATCCAGGAGACAGCTCTGCTATCCTTTCCTTCAAAACTCTCAACCCAGACCACCCTGACAGGAAATATTGGAAGCTAGATAAGAAAGGCTTGTTTTCTGTAGCAAGCACTTATGTCTTTCTCTCATAGCAGAAATTACTGGCCTTAGACATCCCTTGCAGCAGTTCTTCATCAGGTATCTCTACTGGTCTTTCCAGATGCTGGCAATTAAAAGTTGCTGGTAAACTTAAGCATTTCATTTGGAAGTGCTTAAATGACACTCTTCCTGTGAAAACCAAATTATGGAAGAAAGGTTTAGACATTAATGTAGTGTGCAAATCTTGTGGTGTTGAGGCTGAAACAATTGAACATGTTCTCTTTCATTGCTCCAAGGCAAGTAGAGTTTGGGACTTAGCTCCAGTATCTTGGAATAATCTGTTACAGCTCACTTCTTCATTTAGAGGATGGTGGCTTGATGTGTGTGCTATCAACAAGATAGAGACTTCTGAAGCTCGGATCCAACTAACAACCTACATGCTTTGGTGGCTCTGGAAGTCCCGGAACATGTGGCTCTTTCAAAATATTCACATCCCAGCTCACCAACTTGTCAGCATTGCTCATAAAGACTGGTTGGAGTATTCTATTCCCATTTGCTATTAGTTTTTGTCTTTGTTCTTTTATAGTTTGTTGTTAGCCGGTTAGTTTTGTTGTTTTTGTCTTATCTCCCTAGGCTTGATTGCAGTGGGGAGGTGTTCTTAGTTTCTTTTCATTGATGTTGTCAATTGAGGTTCTAGGCCGCTTGCATGCGAGTCCTCTCAGTCTTTGATTTTCGGTAGTTGTGATTTGTTGTTGAACTATGTAGTTGATTTTCTGAGTTTATAGTTACATCTATCGTTCCGGAAAAAAAAAAAAAAAAAAAAAAAAAA